GCTCCTTCAGCACATTTTCTAACATCAAAGCACTGTAAACGTTAATCACCTGCACTCTGCTAAGACGCAAACAAATCGCAGAAATGCTGCGAGATTTAGGCGGATGGCGTTCACACCAGAGGAAGAGATCGACCAATAAACTTCCAGCGTTCAACAATGCAACTGGAGCGGCAGGAAGTCCAGCTGACACTCCCCCTCACAGAATGGTTCAGCCTAAGTTTGGACACTTATTTCTGTTCTGTATTTATTCACTACACGGTGTGGGGTTCAGTAAAAAAACAGCACAGGGATAATGTAGATCAGGGGTCCCCAATCTCTGGTCAGGGGACCGGTGACGGCCCATAGTTCATTTGGTACTGGGCCGCAGTGAAAAAAATGTAGTTTTCCTCATTTCTACTTCATTCCAAAAGAATCCAGTCATTTCCCTTTACTGTTAATAATCTGTCATTGTTTCAGAACAACAGGTCAAAGGTCATTCAGACTCTGATACTGACAGAAGAAAAAAATAAAAGGTGTTTTATTTTGAAAATTTAATGATCCTTCAACGACGCTGCGGTATCACAGGTCCAGGTGCTGAGTCCTTTATCTTTATCAAGGTTCTGATAAAGACACGTGCTGATCAGCTGATTTGTTTTTAGAACTTTGGAAAAAAGGTTTTCTGTAGCAATGGTAGGATTACGGGACACGATCAAAAGCAGTTGGCCAGTACGGGGATCGAACCCACGACCTTGGCGTTATTAGCACCACGCTCTAACCAACTGAGCTAACCGGCCTGTGTCTTATCAGCAGTTCTGTTTTTAGAAAACGGTTAGCTGCAGCTATGCAAGGACTACGGGACACGATAAAAAGTAAATGGCCCGTACGGGGATCGAACCCGTGTTGCCACAAAGACCACAAAGATTTTAACTTGTAATCAATTAAAGTTAAACAGTATGCTAAGGAATTATGGGTTCAATCTTGTTTTTAAAAAAGCTGATGTAAAAATATATTTTAACTTATATGGTATATTTCAGAACCTGAACACCATCCAAGCACTGACACGGACAGATTAGCGTTGCTACATTTTGTGCTCTGCGTGCATACCAGGAATTCCTTTGGTGTAAGTGAAGTCACAGCTTGACTTTATTAGCCGAGGCTAAAGTCATATCCTGAATGAATTCCCAAAGAAAACAGAAAATTCCAAGTTGGCAGAAGTTGATACTAGATTTCAGTCTGATCCACGTGTGCAGATTTCACCATCACAAGCCGAAATAGCTCAGTTGGGAGAGCGTCAGACTGAAGATCTGAAGGTCCCTGGTTCAATCCCGGGTTTCGGCATTTTGACTCCCCCCCCTTTGGCTCGTCGCCAACACCTAACCACTGATAAGATAAGGTTGAAGAGTTGTTAGGCAGCATTTCAGCTTTAATCCAAGCGAGTTCTTCTTGCCTAAGAGAACTCTTCAACCTTGACCATGACCTGGATGACTGAGAATCTTCATAGATACTGATAAGATAATATAAGACTATTCATCCAACACCTGGGAAATTCAGTGGTTAGGTGTTGGCGGTGAACGACAGGGAGGTCACAGGGAGGTCAAAATGCCGAAACCCGGGATTGAACCAGGGACCTTCAGATCTTCATATTGCACTTTATAAAGACTAGTCTGATCCAGGCGTACAGACTTCACCATCACAAGCCGAAATAGCTCAGTTGGGAGAGCGTCAGACTGAAGATCTGAAGGTTTTGAAGATTTCGAACCAAAGGGAGGTCAAAATGCCGAAACCCGGGATTGAACCAGGGACCTTCAGATCTTCATATTGCACTTTATAAAGACTAGTCTTCTTCAAAAAAAGTTAAATGGACAGTTGTTGTCCATTCTCAATTCAGTTGAGTTGCTAACAAGCCGAAATAGCTCAGTTGGGAGAGCGTCAGACTGAAGATCTGAAGGTTTTGAAGATTTCGAACCAAAGGGAGGTCAAAATGCCGAAACCCGGGATTGAACCAGGGACCTTCGGATCTTCAGTCTGACGCTCTCCCAACTGAGCTATTTCGGCTTGTTACCAAATCAACTGAATTGAGAATGGACAACAACTGTCCATTTAACTTTTTTTGAAGAAGACTAGTCTTTATAAAGTGCAATATGAAGATCTGAAGGTTTTGAAGATTTCGAACCAAAGGGAGGTCAAAATGCCGAAACCCGGGATTGAACCAGGGACCTTCAGATCTTCAGTCTGACGCTCTCCCAACTGAGCTATTTCGGCTTGTGATGGTGAAGTCTGTACGCCTGGATCAGACTAGTCTTTATAAACTGCAATATAACTATATGTTTAATTCCTAACGTTTAGGTCATAGGCTTGTTACCAACTCAACTGATTTGAGAATGAACAACAACTGTCCATGATTCACATATTTCACAACTTACCCAGACTTAAGGTCTGTTTTTACATCCAGATAGACTTTAAGTTGGGCTGATCGCCACACAGTCGGGAGTAGAGAGACATTTATCGACACCTATCTCATTGCGCTAAGTTAATTTTTTTTCTAAGAAACAAAGGCCCTCGAGTCAAAACCAAACAACTTTGAAGTTCCTCAAACAAAGTGAACGGCTCTAAATCAGCAGTACAGTCCTTCAGGGCCTGACAGGTAGCTGTTCTACCCCCGTACTCAGTGTGTGTTCACTCAGAGTGTGTTCACTCAGTGTGTGACTAATGCTCCAGGTCAGAATGGTGACCCGTGTCCAGCTGCACACATTACTAAAAGTACAAAAAAAAAGGGAAAAAAACAGGTGGAGAGGGCAAAACTAGACCCAGAGATGTTATCTGTGCAGTAATGAATGGTGTGCAACACAGAGATAAGGCACAGTCAGGTGACTAACGGCCTGTAGAGGGAGCTCCGGGGTGAATGTCGTTTGGTAACTTTGGCCTCATGTATGTGCTCAGTCACATCCTGCTGTGTTAGAAATGTTTGACACTGCCAGGAGAATGGACCGGAGACAGTTTAGCTGTTTTGTTTAATAGCGCAGTACCACCACAAGCCACCGGAGCTAAAGAAGTGTCTATACCTTCTACAGTAAAGTGCAATTTTAGACTAAGACTGATCATTTAGTATTGAAATGGAATCACTATCAGGCAAAACCAACAAAAATAAACTTTTAGTTTAGAGAGTTTAGAGAATTTTTGTGATTTTACCTTCGGTATTTTTTGTAACATTATCCTATAAAAAAAACGACTAGTTGAACGACTTGTACACAACACTTGAGCGTCTTTGAAATTTTGAATCAGACTTTGAACAAGCAGCTAAAATACTGCCTCATCTAACAACAGAACTTGTTTCCATTATCTGAAAGCAACTGTTCTTAAAAATTACTACAACAATTCTATTGCAAACTTTGACAAGAACCGATGACTCGTCATTGCTAGCAAAGACCAGGCCGTTGGTTGACGCTGCTTTCATTCAAAATCTCGATACCAAATCATGTGACTGTTTCATAAATACAACTAAGTTTTACTGGTGAAAAGACTACGGCTGTGGTTTTCAAAGTGGGGGCCGTGGTCACATAAGGGCCCCAATTGATTTGTTACGTTGATACAGCGATGTACAGTAGCCGAACACATCGTCAGCCTCCACTTGTACAAGGACCAGTGCCAACCCTGGTGCAGGTCCTATTGTTGATCGTAGATTACAATATGGATTCTGTTCAGAGGGCTTATCGCCACACTGCCACACGGTGGTCGTCTCACATGAGTCACAGTTTCACGATGCGATCCAGCATCGCTCTGGCAACAACAAAGCAAGTGACTGGGCAGAAGAAGACAAAGCATTTCTTTAGCCTGTGTCTGTCCCTGGAGGCTGTGTGTGTGTGTGTGTGTGTGTGTGTGTGTGTGTGTTCAGTCAAATACTGGGACACATTGTCTAGTATTCACAGCAGTGCAGCACATTTTACCCTCCTTACCTTCGGCTGTGTGTGTGTGTGTGTGTCACAGCAGTGACAGGGAGGGAGAGAGAGAGAGAGAGAGACAGAGAGAGAGAGAGAGAGAGAGCGAGGGAGCAAGAGAGAGAGTCAGAGAGAGAGAGAGAGGGCGAGGGAAAGGAATCTGTGTTGTTCTCATCGTGTCCAGCTTCTGCTGCAGAGAAAGTCTGATCGATGTAAAAAAAAAAAAAAAAACCTGTATAATGATGCTGCTGGGCAGAAACAAACAAAGTGTCTTTTATATTCCCACAGTAAAAAACAAACAACCTTCGCGATAATATTTAGCCTAGAATTAAAAGTAACTGTCAGTACAGCTAGCATGCTTTATTTGTCTGGGGGACATTTTTTTTCTGGGCCAAACACTCAAATGACATGGAATAAAACAAATAAAAAAATTGAAAAAAAGAGTCATAAATCCAGATTGGACGGTTCAGTGGACCGGATTCAGCCCGCGAGCCAGCAGTTGGAAATCGTTGCATTTGAAATTGTGGATAAACTCACGTTACAACTTCTTAATCCAAACATAATTTCAGATTGGACGGTTCAGTGGACCGGATTTAGCCCGCGAGCCAGCAGTTGGTACTCGTTGCATTTAAAATTGCGGTAGAACTTCTTAGTTCAAACTTCATTCGCGTGAGGTATTATAGGTTGCGGATTAATTACTAGCCAATTATCGACAAATGATGTAAGTCCTACGATAAACAGAGCAGAGCAGCTAATAACAGCTAACCAGAGCTGACAATCTCCACGATTTCCCTCTAGGTGTCAGTACAATGTTTTCAAATTTTAGTTTGTGACACAAGCCTCCTGTGGTCTGGATGCTTCCACGCTGTTGGAGGCGACACTGCGGCTACATTTTGCAACAGGCATTTGAAAAGTGTTTGAGAAGTGCAAGAAGAAGCTCCTCGGAGACGAGGAGGCAATAAATAATAAAGTCACATTCCTAATGACTAGACTTTCTCTTCCAAAACCACAGAAGAAGTTGTGATGTCACTGTGTCACTTGTGTTTGCGAACGTCACCATGGATGTTACATATGTCAGTGGGTGTGTATACATTTGATTGTTGTGCAATCATTGTTGGTCACTGCCAGGTTTCCTGTCACCAACTCACGGAGGACAGGGAGGAAGTGAAACTTTGACAGTCTTTCCACTGACTGGCTCCTTCGACTCTGTGCGCTCACTTCGTCCATTATTTACATTTTATGTATGGAACCCCCCCCCCCCCCCCCCCCCCCTTTTCCATTTTTTGTAGGGACCCCCCCCCCCCCTCCCCCCAGGATTCAAATGTCTTTCTCCCTTCAGTGTGGTGGGATAAAATATGACACGACAGTTTGGAATGATGCTGTGTTAAAAACATACAATTCAACATGTATCTCTGGGACCACATACAGTATGTTACTGGGTTCAGTTGGATTGGAAAAAAATGGCATTAATGGACAGTACAGGGATCAAACCCACGACCTTGGCGTTATTAGCACCTTGCGCTAACCAACTGAGCTAACCAGTTTGTGTCAAAATGTGATTTTTGTTTTCAGAACTTAGGAAAACGGTTAGCCGCAGCTACAAAACAATTACGCGACACGATCAAAAGAGAATGGCCCGTACGGGGGTCGAACCCGCGACCTTGGCGCTATTAGCACCACGCTCTAACCAACTGAGCAAACCGGCCTGTGTGAAAAATGTAGTTTTTTTCAGACCGTAGGAAAACGGTTAGCTGCATCTAAAAGAGAATTACGCGACACGATCAAAAATAAATGGCCCGTACGGGGATCGAACCCGCGCCCGTCGCGTTATTAGTACCACGCTCTAACCAACTGAGCAAACCGGCCTGTGTGAAAAATGTAGTTTTTTTCAGACCGTAGGAAAACGGTTAGCTGCAGCTACAAAACGATTACAGCACCACGCTCTAACCAACTCAGCTAACCGGCCTGTGTGAAAAATGTAGTTTTTTTCAGACCGTAGGAAAACGGTTAGCTGCAGCTACAAGAGGATTACGTGACACGATCAAACATTAATGGCCCGTACGGGGATCGAACCCGCGACCCTGGCGTTATTAGCACCACGCTCTAACCATCTGAGCTAACCGGCCTGTGTGAAAACTATAGTTGTTTTCAGAACTTAGGGAAACGGTTAGCTGCAGCTACAAGAGGATTACGCGACACGATCAAAAGAGAATGGCCCGTACGGGGATCGAACCCACGACCTTGGCGTTATTAGCACCACGCTCTAACCAACTGAGCAAACCGGCCTGTGTGAAAAATGTAGTTTTTTTCAGACCGTAGGAAAACGGTTAGCTGCAGCTAAAAGACGATTACACGACACGATCAAAAGCAAATGATCGAACCCACGACCTTGGCGTTATTAGCACCACGCTCTAACCAACTGAGCAAACCGGCCTGTGTGAAAAATGTAGTTTTTTTCAGACCGTAGGAAAACGGTTAGCTGCAGCTACAAGAGGATTACGTGACACGATCAAACATTAATGGCCCGTACGGGGATCGAACCCGCGACCTTGGCGCTATTAGCACCACGCTCTAACCATATGAGCTAACCGGCCTGTGTGAAAAGTGTAGTTGTTTTCTGAACTTAGGAAAACGGTTAGCTCCAGCTACAAAACAATTACGCAACACGATCAAAAGAGAATGGCCCGTACGGGGATCGAACCCGCGACCTTGGCGCTATTAGCACCACGCTCTAACCATATGAGCTAACCGGCCTGTGTGAAAAATGTAGTTTTTTTCAGACCGTAGGAAAACGGTTAGCTGCAGCTACAAAACAATTACGCAACACGATCAAAAGAGAATGGCCCGTACGGGGATCGAACCCGCGCCCGTCGCGTTATTAGTACCACGCTCTAACCAACTGAGCTAACCGGCCTGTGACACCAGCGTTATGAGAGAACAGTTTGACACTATCAGTTTGACACATGTGAGTGGGGGGAAACACTTGGTTGCCTTTACTTTCTGGCGGCGGGGGAGGGAAGTCTTCCACGTCCATGACTGCTGCTCCTCTCACGCTGACGCTGAATGCAGGGGATCAGCTACACCAACACACATTCCTAAAAGAAGAAGACAAATATCACCAAAGGTCAACTTCAATGGTGGATTGAAATGCACACTTTTAGCAAATTAAACTAGCATTCCAGAATCTTTCTGCAGATCATCATATCATGAGTAAGACATCCGAGTGCAGCGGGTCAGTCGTGCCGACTCTCAGACCAGCAGAGGGGTGTGGCGGCTGTCGCGGTCAGGTACAAACAAAGAAAGCTTTTAACAGTGCTTGACACAAACATGCGTTCACGTGTACTCAACATACTCATTTGCTAATTGTGGCACCGGGTCAGGGCATGGCACAACATTAAAATGGAGGGGCATTCCCAACGCCAGAGGGAGGGGTTGCTGTAGTAACGGTTCTTATTCAAAGCAGATTTTCCCCTCGTTTGTTGTGGTGATGAAGCCGCGAACGGCGTCAGAGCCAGGCGTCAATAAACAATAAACGTTTATGCGGCAGCTTTTAACCCCAAATGTAAATTAGATTTTTTAAATCTTTGAATAGTTACAAGTCAAACTTACATTTGGTTTCTTCAAGGTGCGACTGTAAAACAGGTCAAATTAATGACTCACACATACTTTTTTTTACACTGGATTAATTTGTTGCCATCTTTGATTCTTAGACATGGTCAGAATTGAAGCTACAGGCCGGTAAAGGTATTGCAATCCAACAAAAGTTTAGACCGATAAGTTTAGAAAAATCTACATTTTACAGGACTAGGTTTTTACGATGCGGGGGTCAACGTGCCATTTGAACTTTATGGTGAGCACACATTTTGGCCCAGGGAAATGTTTTTAGCATGTCGTGGCAGGAGGGACCTTTGGACCTGCTTGGGCACGATGAGAGACAGCATTCCACTGCAGCACAGCCTTTATTTCCTGACTTACAATTTGTATCCAGAGGTGACAGTTTCTGTCAGGGAACTCTCCAAAAAATGTGCTTTTTTTCCAGACTTAAGTTTCTGTCAGGGAACTCTCCAAAAAAAATGTGCTTTTTTTTCCAGACTTTTTTTCAGAATTTCCAGGGAGAGATGACAGAGTCGTGACATCATACTTCAGTAGAAGGAAGTCAATGTTGATCGCGTTTAATCTGGCTTACATCTACAGATAAGTACAAGCCACGACATAAGTGTTTCGACAGTCTACTCTTCACCAAGACATAATAAGTACACGCCAGTAAAACACCCGAGAAGATCTGAGCGACAAAGCCAGACGGAAGGAACGCCAAAACTCATCTCCTCTTTTTTTTTCCATCCTCCACCCTGTTCTCAGGGCACAAGGCCAGAGCAGCGGTAGGATCACACGGGGCTAATGTATGTCTGGTGCAGCTGACGGACAACGTTAGCTGCTAACGGAGACAGATAGAGTATGTGTAGCCTGAGGAGTGAGAAAACAAAAGAGCAGAGGCCAACAAAAGAAGCTGCAGCACAGTGTTGTAAGGTGTGTCCAACTGACTACGGCTCAGTTATCGTATATTAACGTGACTTTACTTGGTCCGATACCATAAAGAGATACATAGAGTTCTACAATACTGAAAACTAGGGCTGTCAGAACTGCTGGAAGGACCTAGAGAGTTTAAGGAGTATAAAAAACATAGAGATACTAGGGGTGTGTATTGGACAGAATCTGGTGATACGATACGCGACTTTAGGCACAACAATATTTTGAGGGTTTTTTTTTTTAACAATTTAATTGTGGTAAAACTGTGATCCTAGTCTCAGAATCAGTTCCTAACACTGGAACAGAGGGAGCGACATTTGGAATCACTAGAGAAGAAAGAAAAAACATGTTTTTGGATAAAGAAATTCTATTATTATTACTGTTTGACTTAAAGTCTCAAATACTTGCAAATATATGCAGTCCTTGTACGATCAACTAACGGTCGGAGGTTGAAACGCAACCCAATTATCTGAATGTCTGAATGACAGATTAATTTTGAAATATTGCTAGATTATCTTTACGGATTCTCCCTAAATTAAGTAAATCAGTAAAAATAAGGTACATTTGTTTTTCACTGTGTTCCACTCTGACCTGGTACCAAATGACCTATGGACCGGTACCAGACCACAGACCAAGGGCAGGAACCCCTGTTCTACAAGACACCCCTGAGATGTATAAGAGTGATAACAACAATCAACCAACTCTATGACGCTGAATATATAATATTTGATACATTTGACTTTTTACTGTATTAAAAAACGCCATCATTCGTTTTAGTCACAAATGATTAATTTGTTGGATTAATCCACAGCTACTTTGTGATTAATCTGATTAAGAATGTGATTCTTTTGACGGTGACACCAGTGAAAACAATCATTCACGTTGTTGATATACTGCGTGTATATTGACAAGATAATTTGGGAGTGGAACCCGAGAGCCGAGTCCTGACAGGAGTGTTGAAAAGTGACTCATCTCTTCCTTTAACTCCACTGTTAAAGACATCAGGAAGACAAACTGGAGGGAAATCAATAATAAAAATCCTCTGGGAGAAAGCGTTGTTTCTGTCAACCTAGAAAGATAAGCCGTGTTGTTTGAAGAAGCAACGTTTTTTTTTTTTCTTCTCTGTTCTGCTTTAATTGGGACAAAAATTCCTTCCACGTTTCCCTCACCTACAATTAGTCCCATGTCCCTCCTTTGTTACCTGTCTCACAGAGAAAACTACACGCTCCTCAGGACAAATTACACCCTGTGCTGTCTGTGGTGTGAAGTGACTTCAAATGTGGTGTGCAACACCAAAGTAACCGGCTCCGTCTGTGGAACTGAACAGGTACTGAACTAAACCTGAAGCAGATCCTTCATCCTCTGAGCGCGTGAGCAGTGAGAGGAAGTAAACACGTCTGAGGCGAGTAAAGACAACACAGATGATTAAAGATGATATTTCTTTTTTGTTGTGTTTCTTGTGAATCTGCTCAGTGTTTCTCACAGATGTAATCACTGCCGGCTGCAGGTGAAAGTCAGTCGTACAGCTGAGGACGGATGCAGCCGAGCGTGTCGTTACACGCTGCGGAGGGTTGAGTTGTACTCTCTACAGATGGGAAAACACTCACCCAGCCTGCTCCAGTACTACAAACACAGTACTCTACGGAGTGTATCCATATAAAAACAGATAGAAAGATGAGTTGAAGTTGAAGGTTTCAAGGTTCAGTACCGAGAACCACCAAAGTCGCAGTGACGTAATGAAAGATTTGATTGACAGATAATTCAGGTATTTTTTCCCCACTGCAATTCATTGAATTAAAGCCCAGGTTTTACTTCAAGTTTCTTCACAATTTGGCAGTATTTCATGCTGCAGCTTGTACATGATGTCGTATCATATAATCATATGAAACTACTTTTTTACCAGTTGGGGGCAGTCACCAGGAAATATCAGTAGATTGGGTTTTCAAACCTCTTCGGGCCACACATTATGAGAAAAACCTCACAATGCAACATTACACAAAAATGTCACAAATTAACATTCTTTAATTTGCGCACAACTTCATTATGTAGCGCAAAACCTGGGCCTGTTTAGTTGAACACGGTGTTGATTTAATTCCTGAATTGAAGAAAGACAGTCTCCCACATTTTCACTTTTTTTTGTTGTTTTTATAGCCATACACTGCCACATAGTGGAAGAGTTTTTCATTGTTCTGCCCGTCACGTTTATCAAGTTTAGTAAAGACAAAGAATTAGCACTGACTAAACAATCGTCTTAAGACCATTTAAATGAAATTAAATCGTGCTGGGTGAAAATTTCTCACACACTAACATGTGACTGTGACTTTAAGCTTCGTTCTGTGTCACACACTTTCACTGACAAGTGGCATTCCAACACCAACACACATGGGCTGAAAGCCATTAGCAAAAGTCTGGAGACTCGCAGTCTGCTGTGAGCATCTGTCTCTGACTTCGCAGCGATACATCCCGGTTTTCTCCCTTTATGCGACTTAACGGTCGTCCCAGTAAAAAGCAGCAGATCCCAGTCTACATAAGGAAGGAGCAACAGGCACAACGCTTCACTGTAATCTGTTTTTGGGGGAGGTTCTGGGGCGGACGTGACTGTGGCCTGCAGCGCACTGTGATAAAAAAAAAATCTCATTTCAGTCTAATTAAAAGTAAACAGAAAAAGAATTGGAGTACAGCGGCTAATTGTCACGCATTCTATTGCTATTCCCTGTAATGTTAATGGATTTTTTTAAAATGTGAATCTGTCTTTTCGGTCATTCCCTGTAATGTTAATGGATTTTTTTTTCTTTTCGGTTCTAAATACAAACTATGTGATATAATTTTTTGTTGTTTACATACATTTAAAAACAGATTTAGATTCAGATTTACCGACATACTCTGTTTGTTTGTACAAATCCAAATGACAGGAAGTGTTCCCTCCTAAAATACCGAGTCTGTAACATTTCAGTACTAGTGATGTTTTTTGGCGATTGCAAACTTTACTATTGCAGTGTTGTGGTTTTTGCCTCGTCCTTTCCTCTTTCAGGTGTGAGCGTTGCTGGGCAACACAATACCACAACACACCTCGGCGCCGTGATAGACTAAGCCAACAGACGTAGTCGGCAGCACTCAGGTATTCACACTTCACGCCGTGCACATCAGGCATTGTCACAATTACTGTTGCCAAAATAAAAAAAAAACAACAAACTGAAGTGTATCAACTCGCTCGGCGGCGATGCCTCAGGTTGTCACAGACCGTAGGTTTAAGACCTCATGAGGTTTCGTCACAGACCGTAGGTTTAAGACCTCATAAGGTTTCATCTTCGCTGAAGTCGGCTTCATTTTGGTGATGGCGTTGCCCAACATTTTCCCCATTTATGGTCTGTGGCAAACAAAATGAATAAACTGCCTGCCAACGGACCGTGTTTTTAAAAGGATTATGGGTAGTCATGATGTCATACCATGTCAAGCTAATATAACAAGCCTGGCTCAACGGCAGCGTCACACTATTTCCAAAAGGAAAAAGGAATCGAACAGAGGAGTCAGTTTACATTTGTAGCTCTGGTCATTACTTTTTTTTTTAACCATAGTCATAACTAACATTTTTAGGCACACACCGCCACCTAGGAGTGTGTGTATGACTAGGGACTTCTTGAGATGACACAGCCTACACTTTACACCTTGTTTGTGTGGCGCAATTCATTTTTTATTTCTACCGATGCGACTTGTCTTGATTTGTTTTGATTTTTAACCGATTCACGATGCATCATTACAGGTCTCTCTCTCTCTCTCTTTGAACCCTGGATAGCTGAGTTGGTAGAGCATCGGAAGGTTCCTCTTCGAGTGTTGCTTAAGAAGATCTTGGGTTTGAGTCCCAGAGGAACCACATACATAAAAAATCGCAGTGCACCCACAGAAGAGTTGTTGTGTCAAAAACAAACAAACAAACAAAAAAAACCTTCATACAATTGCAGTATCTGAGCCAACCATACTTGACAACACAGCACACTTCACAAACCCACCCTGACCTCAAGAGGGGTGTGGAGGCCTACAAACAGGCACAAGATGGCTGGCTTTAAACAGCAACAATCTCAACTCCAGGAAAATTAGAAAAACTTGCAAACAGTAAATAACAAAAGGGGGGTTTACAGAAACAGAAACGTACAACATGTGTTTGTCTACGTAACTGCAAACAAAAAGGTCATCTTATAGGAGAGGGTCTACGCAATCCCCCACTCTGTGTAACATAATCCACCGTCAGTGATCACATGGAACAATCTACACAACGACAGGATGGGTCTGGTATTTGCCGTTAGCTATCAGCTACAATAGCAAACCATCAGTGCTTGATTTTCGGTAGAGGAGGCAAAGAAAGTGAAAAAAGTCCTGCTAGCTTGGGAATCACAGGACGAAATGAGAGACTACAACTGCAGAGTAATTTAAATGTGGTGTCCATCTGAAAGCACAGGCCGTCTCGGTCTTGGCTGTCACTTTTCTTGGGTCTCCACCCACCCGGCGAGCCACATTAAAAGCTTTGTGTGGCTAACATGTCACTAGGAGAACACTGTACAGTGTCTGCCGAGCGGTGGATAAGTGGCTGCTCCAAAGAGCCTTTGTTGACGCTGGATCTAAGCTCGTGAGGAATTTTCAGAGATGAACAGAGCATCTCATTCAGATTACAGCAAATCAGCGCAGAGAATCCACCACACTATTAATCAGCAGTGTCGCTGGGAGCGTAGTGACACAGTCGGAAACTGAGGGACGTCATTGTGCAAGACTTTGACTCAGGACGGAGCTCAATTCCCACAGGAAACAGCCATGACAAACGACACAGAAAAAGGGACATCTTGACAACAGTAGCGTCCGCTAAACATGCGTGTGGTATGTGAACAATTTCTCACACCCACCTGCAGAGCGGCACAATTCGCCACTCTAGCCCCGCAGTTAGATTACCCTGAAAATATTTAGAGTATATCTATGTTTAGCTGTAAATTTCCTGGATGGAGAGTGAAAACAAGACTTTCATGCTATAGCATGCTCTTCAGCACAGTTGCTGTTTACTTTGGCACCTCGAGTGTGGCCGAAACAAAAGGCTTTTCTGTGAGTCATTCCTCGAGCTCCCGTCTTGTCACAGTCACTTTGTTAGTTAGCAAAAAAACAAACAGTTGTGTTTACTGCCGCAAATGGCAGACGACAGTATTTCTTTAATGAGATATCAACCCTGTGTCATCAGCAAAATATATATATACACATATGTAGCTACTGTATGTACACACATATATACATACATACATGTGTATATATGTATATATACTATTCTGATGACACTGTTTTTTCTGTGTATATACAGTATCTATATATTCCTTGACAGAAAAAAATATAGTGTCATCAGCATAATACATAATAATTTATATATACCCATATACCTTCATAGATACTGATAAGATAATATAAGACTATTCATCCAACACCTGGGAAATTCAGTGGTTAGGTGTTGGCGGTGAACGACAGGGAGGTCAAAATGCCGAAACCCGGGATTGAACCAGGGACCTTCAGATCTTCAGTCTGACGCTCTCCCAACTGAGCTATTTCGGCTTGTTAGCAACTCAACTGAATTGAGAATGGACAACAACTGTCCATGATTCACATATTTCACAACTTACCCAGACTTAAGGTCTGTTTTTACAACCTCAATCCTGGGTTGGTTAGAGCGTGGTGCTAATAACGCCATGGTCGTGGGTTTGATCCCCATACGGGCCATTTGCTTTTGTGTCCCGTAATCATCTTGTAGCTGCAGCTAACCTTTTTCTAAAGTTCTAAAAAGCTCAGTTGGTTAGAGTTCCATCCCTGTACGGGTCGTTCACTTTTGATGGTGTTATATGATTATTTAGTTAAACCCAGTCTAAATTTAAAGATGGGTTTGATTCCCTTTCTATGAACCTGGAATTTTTTTATATATATATATACATATATATGTATATATATATACATATATATGTGTATATATATATACATATATATGTATATATATACACATATATATGTATATATATATACACATATATATGTATGTATATATATATATACACACATATATACATATATTCTTTGAGAGAAAAAACTGCAGTTCTTCTCAGTCAAAGCAGTTGTGAAGAGGAAGTGTTGCACATACAGGACACCGTGTCTACAAGTCTCACCTGAGTGTTTACTTTAACATACTACAGGGAAAAAGGCATCTGTGAGAGCCTTCCCCCTGGGTGTTATTACAGTTGGGCGAGGTACTCCGCATCTGTATTTGCAGCCAGGCTAGCGTGGGTATTTGCCAAACAAATTACCAATGTAGGCATGTGTGTGTGATCACATGGATGTTCGCACTCACTTGTTGAGTGGCTGGTAAATCTGAGCGTGGAGAACAGCAGAAATACTAGTCTGGTCTTCCTAGAAAGACATGGTTGTTTTCGATGCAGATGGTATCTTCTGATTTACAACTGAACCTCCACTTGACTGGAGCTGGCGGGTCTTTTCAATGAGGAATGCCATGCATGACTACTTTAATGTGTATGGACTGAACACTGCAGCTGAAAACTCTGGAGATTTTCTCCAGTTTGTTTAGTATCACACAGAGATGTCGTCCTTGTGCTGGAGATGACAAACATTATCTGCTAATAAATCTCGGTTGGCGAGGGCGAAGGCTATCTCGCACCTGCAGAAGCATCCTTGAACAGGAAGGGTACGTTAGGAAATTCCAAAGGTAGAAATAAAAAAAAAAACAACTGTATTATCTGTGACGTTAGTGAAGAAGAGAAAAAAATAAGCACGAAAGACATGTTGTGATTTCATTTTTAACGTTTTCAGATATTTACGTCTATGACAGTTACTTAAATGAGAAACCATCGTAAGAAGACTGTGATTTGGTGCAGGTATTTCAGTGTTGGGAACTTGGCAGCGTAGTGAAGGCGCCACGTTATAGACATCTCTGTCCTAAGAAAACTGCTCCAAAAAAACCAAACGCGCTCGTCACAAACTCAATACAAAACCAGACTCTCTTAAAAACGATGCCATGAAATGGCAGTTTAAGATAAACTACTTTTGTCACTGGCAGAAAAGATAAATAACGACGATTTACAACAATGAAGAAAATATTGAGCTTACCATTTTTTGAGGTCTTTTCGCGAAACGACAAACTCTTTCTCTTTGTTCACACACCATGTAAGTGTTAGAAGAACATCGCGTGGCCCATAAACGCGATTTTAAAGACTGTTAAAACTCCGTAAACTACTTTTATACTCCAGTGTCCTCCTCTAAACTTCTGCCCCGTCGGTGCAAGCTGACTCCATCCATGAAAAGTCTTCACCTCCAACTCCTACGATTTTATTGGCTGGTGGCTGTGTGTGGGGAAATCTGATTGGCTAAACGAAGCGTCAATCAAGCTTCCGCAGTCTTCTCCGATGGGATCTAACCGAGGAGTTCCGAAACCCTCACGTGACGTGTGAGGTGGCTCCGAGCAAAACAGCTGAATGGGTACCGACGTTTTAGGGGAGATTCATTGGAACAAGTACTGGGATTTTTACGAAGTTAGAACATGTATTTTGACTATACGATGTGATTAGCTTCGGTATCAATCGTGTAAAAAAAACCCAAACAATGTATGTTCTCAACTTTATTCATTTATTTGTCGAAGAACAACACATCTTAACACAGATCCATATCGTCATTTCTTTGTATCTAACAAACGATTTTTTTTTAAATCCAACGGACCAAACTTATAATACATTTTTTCAAACTTTTAACGTAAAGTATTTTCCAATGTACATTGAGTTTATTTAACTTTTTTTTTTTTATTTTTTTATTTCTTCTTAAAAACATGATCATTTGGAGACAGTAATCCCTGGAGTGGTAGAGAAATATGCCAAGCTCGGGGTTTGTGGAGTTGCGCCAACGTCTTAGGAACTTACTTGGATCTTCTGCTGCCACCTACCGACCAAAAACGATCCTAACACACAGATCCAACGTTTAATCAAAGAACACGACCTTTCCCCCCCTAGTATTCAGTTCAGTTTAATTCACTCCCACTAGTATTCAGTTCAGTTTAATTCACTCTCAAACAACCAGAACGTGAAATCGTGTCGAAGCTGAAATGAAAAATGTAAAAACAACACCGTCTGTAAATCATCCGAGAAGCTGGGTGAAAAGAAAACCTTACCATTCTGTAATTACAAATGATATTTTTTTAAAATCAGTTATTTGTTGTCACATACACCGCAAATGCACAAAAATAAAAGACACAACAAAAATCCGGAGCTTATTGTGAAAGTTGGTTCAGAGGAATTTCAGAGAAACAATTTACAGTTTACTTTGAAAAAAAAAAACCCAAAACTTTACACCCAACCTTATTCACATAACGGAATACAAAGTCATTATATCATAATTAGGACAGCGCGATATATCGTTTTTTTCCCCTAATGTATCAATGTTTTTTGACGGGATAAAGTACGATACATAAATCATATTAATATATGGACTAAAACGATTTCGCCGATGCAAGTATCTGCCGTTAGCAGCTAGCAAAAGCTCAAATATGTGTAAAAGCACTTTAATTGCGAAAACCCGATTTTATTATATTTTCTCTAAATTTATACTCTTGAAAATGTAATACGTGTTTTCATTGACGTGTGAGTTATATATAATTTAATCTCTGCGACTTGGAATATCTCGAGGATGCTAACTTTTGTTGCTAATTCGGGGGAAAATACGGCGAAATTTATTGCACATCGATATTTACTAGCAAAATATCGAGATATGACTTTAGGACCATATCGCCCAGTCCTAATTGTTGATCAGGTAGATGCAAACATATGCAGTAATTCTCACAACTTAAAATACCCACGATACCAACATTTGGCGTGCTTGCTTAATTTTCCTGAGTCGCTGCTGAAACTTTCTCCATTTTATAAGACAAATAAAGTAAAAAAGTTAGTAAAAAAAAAAAATCAACATTAAAGATACTTCCACTTATATATTTACCTAACAGTTTCCACACGCTTCAGTTAGTAACCTTTCAAACTAAATGCATTTCAGTTAAATGTCATTTTGTTGCATGTGCTGCCAGTTAGTGCTGATAACACAATTACACCAATAGAACATCGGGGTAACAAAGGCCACATTCTTGTTGTGACTTCACTACAGAGTCCTTTGACGTCGACTCAGAAGCAGAAGGAACCGCGCTGTCCCTGTCTGTACCATAAACCTGAGCGAAACACATGTAAGTACAATAAAGAATTTGAGCTAAGAGGACAGACTTTCTTGTGGGGAAACCCACAAGAAAGTTGTTTTTTCACAGTTCTTTGAACTTGAACAAGTGATAGTGTTTAAAGATATAATACTGCTGCAAATATAAAAACCAATGTCTTCATTAAGTCACTCATTTCAATTAACACTTTTGTTCTAAAGTCTCCACCTACTGACGGGAAAACAGAGCTTCTAAATATCGCAGTGTGACACAATCACACTGACGCAAAGATGAACAATGTTTCCTAAATAGAATATTTCCTAATTAAACCACAGAGTGAAGTGAAATGAATCTGTTAAGAAATAAATGTAAAATAAATTCTGACAATTAAAAAAAAAAATTTAAAAATTAAAAAGACATTTTCACCGCATCACGAATGACAAATGGTCAGTCATTACGTAAGCTAGCAAACGTCAAACAGTAAACAGCATCAGTAAATTAGCATTAGCACAAAACATTGACCTCGTCAGTGACCCCTCAACTTGAGTGAGCTTTGGCAGAAACCCGCGCCTGGTCCTTCGCAGGTCCGTTTCCCGGTGCCGGTTTGTCGCCAAAGTTCCAGTCCACGGGGTTGAGCAGCTGCATGGTCTTCTTGTGCGTCCAGATGGGATTGATGATAACGGTTAGCAGAGCCAGGCCGGTGAAGAACAGCAGTCGTTGGATTAGCGCCACATGGCGGTTTATCTCGTCCCAGTGGGTCCACGTCACAAACCAGATGTAGTAGGTGAGGACCATACGGCAGTGGAACATGTGGATCATCACCCACTGGTTGGCTCTCCAGATCAGGGTACGAGCCCAGCCAGCCTGAGAGAGAATCACACGACACTGTTAAAAAAACGTACATTTCTATTTATAAAAAGGTGTTGTAGTGTACTGTACTGTAACATTTAAACGAACTTCTTCTTTAATTTGAAAAAGGTTCAGACCTCAAGAGGAACGGAAACTAAACATAGTTAGAAAAAAGAAATACCACGTTGCAGCAGCAGCAATGCTACGTGTCTTTGGTTAAAACAAGGGATGTCTGATATTGACTTTTAGCTGATATGCGATATTGTCCAAACACTTAACTTCCGATTCCCACCATCTCTAGGGGACAGAAGTTTTTTCACCCCCCTCAAGAACTGTAATACTATTGAGTACCTGGTAGTATTTATTTGCAGCATTCTGCATAATCCCCTGATTATTAAAATTAATTAATTTAATGAGCTGCAATGCTGCCATCTAGTGACATTCACTTTCATGTACAGCCGTTTTTCCCCAAAAAAACTATTTTATAGCACACATCGTTTTTCAAAAGCCAGGCCTTTTGTTATCAGGTTTTCATTATCGAAGGAAAAAAACAATTACAACTTCTTACAGATATAACATATTTATGCTAACATTGGGCCGATAATACGGTTTTCATTATCGAAGGAAAAACCAATCACAACTTCTTACAAATATAACATATTTATGCTAACATCGGGCCGATAATATCGGACGGACAATATTATCGGTAAGTGTGTGCAAAGCCTACCTTCAGTAACATCCAGGATATGCACGTGAACGGTGTGCTCATCTCCAGCAGCAGCACAACCATGGGCAGGAAGTGACCGATGGAGTCCCACACCACGGAACCTGCGTACCCCGCCAGGGCGAAGAAATGGTGTGTGGCCAGTGGCAGGTCAAAGGACCTGAAGACCACACTGGAGACATGGAGCGCTGAGTTCTCAAAGACGAAGAAACCAGTGGCCGTGAGGACGTTGAACCACGACCAGTCCTCCTGACCTCTCACCCTGTCCCTGTTCAGCACAGAGTCCTCGGTCAGGACCCGGAGACCTGCGACAGTACTCTGTACGCCGAATACAGCCCGTGTGGCTGCAAGGTTCCAGAAAACTCTCTCTTTAGGCAGCAGAGAGTTGTAGGTGTGAGAGAGAGTCACAGACAGCAGGTGAGAGAGGAGGAACACTGCGGTGTAGAAGCCGAATCCCAGACCAATGAGCTGGAAGCGGTAGTCCCAGTGGAAGCACTGAGGGCTGGGCTGCTGGTCGGGGTCCATGGTGGTAGAGGGAGGACACCGGACTTCAGTTGGGGTCGAGCTCAGGTGCAGGTGGAACTGTTAGGACCGAACATGTTGGGAAGTTGGCATGCAGCTTCACCGGAAAGTGCTGCGAAAAACGGCACATTTATTACGTAAATTGTCTCTGCTGGTTGTTATGTTACAAAAAAAAGAAAGAGTTTAGATAATAATATTAGTAATCAATATTGTGACAACCGAATAAGGACAATAACAGTGCCAACTTTATTTGACGAGCTAATTCAATGCTTTGCTTTAGTCAAACTGGTAAACTCGGTTAAATAAACACAAAATTGTTAGAAACTACAACATATCCAGACGCGATGAGTCAGAGGCGAAATCTCAACGTAAACATACGAGCAACGGCGCAAATGTAGCAGAAAGACAGCCACGGGTTTCGTTACCTCAAAATACACAAATGACAAATGTTTACGGTACGTACCAAACAAAGGAGGCGCCGCTTCACACTGTGAACACGAACAAAGTTACATCCAGAAGCTGCAGCTCTCACATCATACGACTTCCATTTGGTCACATGACCGCCAAACAGGAAGTGACGCCCATTTTGTTTTCCTGGACTCCCATTGGTCAACGCCAGGTTATGTGAGAATCCTATTGGTTGTTGAGGGAATCACGTTATCAGATCGACTCGTTCTTTTTTCCCTCTGCTGGCCAAGATGAGTTTTTTAAATAGACTTCTTTGAATTTAATACTTTTACTTATAGATTTGTTGACTTGTCAGCCGGGAAACGCAGGATAATAGTAAGTTTTAATGTTTACCTTAACGTACTAGCTAACATTTATATAGGGCCGTGTGTCACAGACGTTTTGCTAATTTTTTAGATTAAATCTGAAGTTTAGGATAAACAGCTCATGTTACCATCGGCCTTTTTTTTAAAAAAAATATTATTAAATATATTTAAATAAACAGGCGCGAACTCGGTCGAATAAAACACAATGTTAGAAACTACAAAAAATCATGACATGACGGGTCACAAGTAAACATACAAGTAGTGTCGTAAATTAAGTCGCAAAACTGCCAAAAATTACGTTAGCTTAATGTACATAAATGACTTAGCCGATCCAGAAGTTGCGTTTATTTTTTGGCCCCGCCCCCTTTTCGCTTTCCTGGCATCACAACCGTCAACCCCAGGGAAGACTCGACTCCAAATGGTTGTTGTTGAATTCACGCAAATCTCGCACCGCCGACAGGATAAGAGATCTTCTATCGTTTTTATCGTTCTATCGTTTCTATCGTTTTCTATCGATCTTCTATCGTTTTTAAGTGTAACGTACAATATATGTCATTCATATTCACAATATTTTACGATTTTTATATGCGTCCAAGAAGACTGTATGTTCAAAAAGTATTCTTAATTCTTATAATATTCTAAAAGTAACTCTAAAGATACTTGTGGAAAAATCACAGGTAATCACGATTAATCACGAGAGCAACGCATTTATCCGGATAAATCGACTTCTTGTATTCGACGATTTTTTTTTTATTTTAGCCCTCGAGCCTCGTCTTCTGCTTGTCATGGTCGGCTTCTTGGGGGCAGAAGTCTCACCACAGAGGCGGAAATTGAAGGCCAACCTAATAAAGTTCTTAGATAGGTGTTTCCAACACACCCGACTCACAGCCAGGGGGCGATCAGACACATTTACACGAGTGTCCGACACATATGGATGTAGAAATAATATGACTGTGAAGACAAACATTGACCTCAAAGTACATGACTTCAGAAGACGCTAGAACAGGAGTATGATTGACATGACTTCAGAAGACGCTAGAACAGGTGTATGTATTATTAACAAATATACTGTAGTTTTAGTCACTGTCCAACAGAGGGCGATACCCCCACATATGTAGAAGCGACAAACACTCGGTAGGTCCTGAAGGTGCAGTTTTAGCTTATTTATTTAGGGGTGTTCACCAATGGCTAACATACCTGCCTAACCTTTGGCTTAGAAAACAGCTGTTAAAATATAACACGGATTACACTGAAGGTAAAATAAGAAAAACGTTCAATTTTTTAATAGACTTTTTAACTCGTTGGTTTTCACACTGGTTTTTTCTGTTTTAGAAAAGCACATTAAATGTGAATCCTGGTGGAGTACACAACATATAGTTTTTTGCGGAACATATTCTCTCGTAAATATAAAGAAAAAAATTCTACAATACTTTAGAGAGAGCTGCGCTGACTTCAAAGGGACCCTTGATCTTATTTTCTCCTTTCTCAAACCATTACATTTGAACGACACGCTTGAAAAACCGTTTGTTCAGCGTTTAACGGATTTCATAGAGGAACGAATCAAAGTCAAAAACAGAATCGCAAACAGAAACAGATGAAGACCAAGAATAAAAGAAAGTTGTTTTTTTTCTTTTCGAGTGAATATTCATTCCGGTGATTAAAATGCCCAAATTATGGGCACATTTCTGACCAACGTAACCTAAAAACAAAAAGCTGATTTTTTTTTTGACTATTTGAACGTCTTTTACTACTCAGATCGCTCCTTTTAACGCTAGTTTTATGGATTCTATATCTATTGTGTCTGACGGTTTGTCACGTCAACTGAATGTAAAAAAACCAAAAAAAAACAACGACACGGACAAATATTTCCAAACTTTTTCTCCAAAAAATTTAATTGCATTATTATTTACACATGGTGACCTCAGCAATGATCAAACGACTCAAAAGAGGCTTTTCTTTCAGTAGCTCAGCTAGGAAAGATCGGCAGGAAATGCATATACTGTTCAGAAAAAAACAACAAACACTGCAAATAATAATAATAATAATAATAATAATAATAATAAAAAACCCTGATCATACTTAAATACTTTCACTGAAATTACACACGCCAGGGGGAAAAAATAAGCATTTGTTGTTGAGTTAAATAAACACATATCAGTGGAACAGAACAGTGTTTTGTTTTCCTAACAAAAAGAAAGTCTACATTCAGAATCAATATTTTGCATGCCATCATACCAGCGTATAAAAGAAGTTAGCAACGTAAAAATGACAACGAAACATGAGCAGGAGCAGAAAATAGTCATGTTTTCAACTAAGCATATATTATATATTTATATGTATTTATAGATCTATATATATTTATATATATCTTTACAAATAATGAATATTTGGAATTATATTCATCCTCACTATAGATATGATATACAAGAGATGAAAATAGTTTTAGCTAAACAACTACTTTTTTTTTCTTTTTATATCTAGTCATTATAGAGTTTGTCCACATTCCAAGTTCGAGGAAGTGTTTTGTCAGGCTATATCTCAGTGGGTGTGACGCTCCAACCACGGCGTGGTTACAAAAAAAGTCTCTGTGAAGTATGTTTCACGATGGGATCGCTGTGAAACAGACCGACCGTCAGGATCTGACGCGAGGCCACGGAACGTCGGGACGACGACAGAAATGATGTAAGAGAAATGAGTGGATGTAAGAGAAGAAGGACGCGGGAAACGGTCCGGCTAACGCCGCCCTGGTGGAGGACGCGGTACGGTGCTGTGGTGAGAAGAGATTCTGCCGTGATTAAATCCTAGAAGATGGCACTCGTAGTTACCGGATGCCCTGGTGATATGAAATGTGAGGCGGTTGACATTTTTGAACCGGATATTTGAACCTAATCGATTGAAACCCACATAAATTTTCTCTGCGTTTCACACACACCGCTGAGATCCAACACAGACTACAGGAAAATACAATATCACTTTGCCACGAGTAGAATATCTGTCGGAAACCACAGAGGAAGAAATCATCAATTTGACCTTTTGACCCTAACAGCAGAAGGATGTTGTTCATAACTCTGAAAATCTCTTAAGGGCACCTCGGTCCAAATGTTACAAATTGTAATTAAAAAAAGGTTCTAAGGCTAAACCATGATATTGGCAACTTGTATTTCTTACTCGTTTCCCAACCTATTTTGAGCCACGGCACAGGAATAAATAAATAAATAAATAATAATAATTTAGAAAACTCCCGACAGGCACTCCAAACAAAAACGTCCCAAGAATGGTAAGATATGAAACATAACGATCTTCTAGTTTCTATTTACTCACAATTTACTTCCTCAGTGTGAAACCTGGGCCTGTTTAGTAGAACACAACACTGATGTACCTGCAGGAATTGAAGAAAGACAATTTAGCCGTTTTCTTAAAAGCTTTTTTTTAAAAAAGCCATCTGCCGCCACCCAGTGGAGTAATTTAACATTCTGCCTCTCACTGTGTCTTAAAAGCTTTTTTTTAAAAAAGCCACCCAGTGGAGTAACTTAACATTCTGCCTCTCACTGTATCATTCATAAACAAAGACAATTTATAATAAATAATTGTTTTCAGAAAAATTAAGTGAAACTGGATAACTTTCCTCAGCCCCCCCGATGATTTAGCGCTTAGGAATCACTCCTGTAGCTGCAAATGAATTAATTCTTGTGTTTTTATTGCACAAATCCCGTCCCCTGACTTCTGGTCCACATTTGTCTTAGCTCCTTGAAATCTTTCGTGTCACGGTCAAACTACAAAGACGGTTTAGTTACAATTACGTGAACGCCTTTTGAAGGAGCGGAAGAAAAGTTGGGAACTGAACCAAAGCATTGGACACAGTTCATATTTTTCCACAGCTCTGAATAATTTGCATATCAGAAAAAACACCGTTGTTTTAAAGAACAGCGTTCGGTGAAACGAAGCCAACAGATTGAAATTAGTACCAGTGCTGATGCTCAACATTTTACCACCGTTCAGCGACAGCATCTGTCATCGTAAGCTTTGATGGACCTCGGAGGCTGCTCCCTTGATCTCACCAAGGACCCAAAAATCTTACATAAGCCGCTTTGCTTAGTCAAAGTCAGGCAGGGAATATCTCCAGCACTGCGCCGCGAGACCCAGCGACCCAGCAGCGTACAACACCAGCAGTTTGGAGCTCTCTGCAGAGCTCCCATCTCCTCTAAGCCAACATATGTCAGACCGAGTCTGTCTCCAGCGTCTGCCCACCAAGGCAGGCGGCAGGGAAACGTCTCTGCTCTGCCAAGTGCCTGCCATCACACTTTGACATGTTCCAGATACCTGCTGTCATAATGTCAGAGGTTCCTGCCAGTACGATGATGGTAATAAAAAAAAGCTGAATTATAGATGTATCGAGTATCGAGTACCACGTTGTAGGAACAATCTCCAGACTTTATGATGTCTAAATCAATGTTTTTTGAGCCATAACAACATTAGGTATAAAAAAAATTCCCACATCACAAAACAAAAAAAAAATTCCCAATAATTTATTTAATGAAATGTAATGATCAACTAGTTTCAATTCAGTCACAATTTACTTAGTGTAAAACCTGGGCCTGTTTAGTTGAACACAACGCTGATATACTTGCAGGAATTGAAGAAAGATACACAAAGGGATTCTCTTCAACATCCTTCTCTCTTCATTCAAATGCTCAGAGTTGTGGAGGATCTTTATTTTTTTCTTTATTCTTTATTAGGATCTTCTTTCTTCAATTCCTGTGAATATATCATTGTTGTGTTCAACTAAACAGGCCCAGATTCCACACTGAGTAATTCTGAGGAAAACATTATACTTATATTTTAGTACATAACCTTATTGTGACATTTTTGTTTGGTGGTGCGTCGTACGGGTTTTTCTAATGTTCAAATGTTTTTAGCTAAAAAAAAAATAACGGGGAACCCTGAACGAGACTACGGAGGTGAAGCCTGCAGCCTCTGTAAGGCAACCCTCCCTGATGGCTTGGTTTTACATTTACTACAAATAAATACCTATAAATTCCCATCAGCAGAAGGTTTTCTATAAATTGGATTTCAATTTGTTATACGTTGTTGCTACAACGCTGTGGGAGACGGACGGAAAAATACATCAAATATGTTTTGGGTCTCGGAAACTGATGTATGCACTTATCGGCCAGTAGGAGCTGCACTGATTATTAGTCCATTATTTGGTTGCATAAATAAAGCAGCGTCATGTTGTAGATTTCTGTATGATTTGAAGAGAGAGATTCGACCAAAGCCTTAAATCCACCAGATTACAGATTATCTCTGCATGGATGTTGATCCTCATAATAATTTATTTAAAATCTAATTTGTGTAAAATTCACTCAATTCGTATCCAAGGACCCAAAACTTTAGTGGAACATTTTTTCTGATAGACAGAAGATGGAATGGATGGACGGCGCCACCTGTTGTTTGTTTAAAAAATAATCCAAAGAATTCAGACTTTAGTACAAAACTGCACCGCAACAAAGACTCATCAAAAATATTTACGTTAATTAAAATAGGCTCGTTTAATATAATTATCATTTAAAATTTTCTATTTTTTTTCTTGTCTTCTAATTGTTTATCTTTTTTTAAATCATTAAAGAAAACTTAAATAAATAAAAAAAACATGATTTAACAACAATAATCATGATTAATAATAAAATAAAAACAAAAAATAATCATTTTATAAAATACAATTTTTAATTTTGAATGATTTCAAATTTTAAATTATTTAAATAAAATTTTAATTAATAAATTTAAATGTATTTCAGTAAATAAAAACCATCTGATTTAATAACAATTAACAATAAGAACAATTTTATAAAATAACAATTATTTATGATTTTCAATTGAAATAAATTAAATAAATGTTAATGTATATTATATTATAAAAATAAATTATTTCTGTGTTTATTTTGAATCTTTCGTATCTTGGCCAGGACTCTCTGGTTGAACAGGGTTTTGGTGACAGTGGAACACTTTGTCCACCAGGGTAAAGTGTGGCGGCGTATTTAAAATAACTAAACAGCTAACAGCCTGGTATTTAAGCTGCCTGTCTGTAAGCTGCAGATCTGTCTTGAGAGAAGATGAGAGAGGGCTGGGTGAGACAATGGTGTGCGAGGGGGAAAAACAAATATGGGTAATAAATAGTCACAATTCAAAAACACGACGGTGCAGCAGTGTGAACCTGGATATGTACACTTCCCTTGGACACAGAGAGAGAGAGACTGGTAATAAGTGCGTAAGTGCATTTGTCTACACAATTTGATCGAAGGAGATACACGGACCTTCGCAGTTTTCTTTTTCTACTGCACGCGGCGTCAATGTTGGCACGAGACTTGCATGGTTTCTGCTTCAAGTAGGTTTCAACAGTAGAGTTTTGGCAACAGGTGCATGGAATACGTACTAGACTAATGAGCCGACCGACGTCCTACTGTAGCTCCGCCAACCCAGACCTGGACAGGAAGTGCAGGGCTTATATGGGCCGCCTGACTAACCTTCGATGGGTGATCAGTGCCACGTGCACACGGTTGAGGTATTTCAAGCATTGGCACTTTTAACATTTGGAACTTAATAATAATTTAGTGACGCTGCTCTTGTACTTCCAAAAGAACAAAGGAAAAGAGTAACAATATAGCATTAAATTGTCTAAAAATACTAAAGTATCACTCACTTTGACCATTTTGAAAGACTTTAAATATATATATGTATTTATATATATATATATTATATAAGTTTCTCTCATGAATTCTTTTTAGCTCAAAGGCCTGGTTGCTGGTAGTTTTTCAAAGCTGCACTTTTTAAATGGCACTTTGCAAATGCTGAAGAACGACACCGGTACCGATCCAGGTTATGGAGCCCGTAGGCCAGGTACAGGGACCACCAGCAAACCAAGAAGAAATCCAAGCAACCCACGTCACACGCTTCTGCTTCCACATGTTCCGACGACGAGAAGAGACTGGGCGCCTCCTGCAGGGCGATGATGGTGATGGTACTGAAGATGGCGATCCGGATCAGATGACGGATGGATAACGTAGGAGTAAGGAGAAAAGCAGTCTAGAAAAAAAGGCTATTTTTAGAGTTGTTTGACGGTGGGAGCAGGTCCTGGTCGGACCCTGACCCTGTCCTCTCAAAGTCGAGTCTGAGCCTCGGGAATATAGATTTCGATGCTGTCCGCTCTCTCCGAGGCTGAGTTCTGCCTGAAAGACGCCGCCCTCTTGGCTGCCATCAGCCGTCGACGAGCTTCCTGTCGATGCCGGTCTGGAAGGTCCAAAGATTTCTCCCTGGTCACTGCACTCTTCTGTCGGACGGTCTTCTTTGGTACGGGAGCTGGTGGCTTTGAGAAGGAAGATTTAACAATATCTCAATTATTCCTGATTTAACTGCAATCAATCAACATCAATCATGAATAACGGTAATGTTATGTTATATGGATATATATATTCATATATATGTATATATGTATTTGTATATACAAACATATATGAATATATAAAAGTATGCATATATGTGAATATATACATCGATCACTCTCCTATGTTGCGTTCCACGACCCACCGTGAAACGGGAAAAATCGTAAAAGTAAAGGTGATAGTTATTGTATTATGTATGTATATATTTACTGTTTACCCATTATCAACCCTCCCTAGACTGTGTTAGCCTTTCCCACACAATTATATTCACAGTAGAGTTGTATAACGATGCAGAGAGAGTGGCCGACAGACAGGGGGAGATGCTAAGAGATGCTACGATGCATGAGCTAATCAGCGAGAGGAACCGAAGAGCATACTTAATTAGCCAATAGTACTCCGAGTACGCATTGTATGACCCAATAGTATGTGGTGTACGATCTCGTCTAGGTAAACAAAGCTACCTGCGATTGTTCACAAATGCGCTTATCTCAATTTCAAAACGAGAATCCTACATCGAACTCGTATGTATAAATGTTTTATAATGTCTTTTAGTTTATATTTTGCGATATAGCGATGTGTTTATGTATATAGATATTTTATTTTTATATTTATATTTATATTTATAACAGGTGAGATCCTTACCTTCTTCTCCGGGCTTTCGATAGGCCTCCAGTTGTTGTTCTTGATCTGCTGTAACTGGTCAAACTTAACGGTGACGTCATCAATAGACAGCTGTAGTAAATCCCAAAACCCCGCTAGGTCCTGAGAAGTGGGTCGAGGCATGGCACTGGGGTCCTGAGGAAGGAGAGCGGAGGTCAAAGGAAGGGAAACGACATGAAAAATGTGACTGGACTGGAATCTCAGGCTCAGGCTGAAGAAGAACTGAATCAATAATACACTAATGTCCATAAAAATCTCCAACAGTCAGAGTAACTGTCTCTTCATACAGTCGGTGTATTTCAGTCCTGACTGTTCATCTGGACCAGGGTCTGGTAGAACCTGTGGACTGTGGTTCTTTCTAGACTTCAGTCCAGTCGTTGTCTTTAACAACATTCATCAGTCTACAGTCCTGAACAATCCATCTGACTGTTGTGTCAGTCAGACTGTCAGTCCTAGACTGACTGACTGCCCTGAGCCGGGCCACTGACCTGAGGTTTAAAACACCCACAAACACATGCTGGGAGTTGATGATGGGATGTTACGATCCGGGAGATTCAGTGAAACTAAAACACTTTCCCACAGTGTGTGTAAATAACAACATGTGTCAGAGCAGGGAACAGTTCCTGTCTGGTGGAGTTATGGGATGGACAATTTCAAATTTGATTCTGATTAATCGTAAATTGTTAAGTTTTGGTAATGAAATAATACACAAACACTTCATGTTCAGGAAACTTGTTATAAAATTATATTTCCCTAAATATGAAGATTTATCTAAAGGTGGAAAATATGGATTTTTTCTGTTATTTATAGGTAATTATGTTATGATTGTACTGGTCTGGCCCACTTGACCTTGATTAATTAGGTTGTATACGGACCCTGAACCACAATGAGTTTGACAACCCTGGACTATACTGTACTGTGGCATTAACTTCATACACGTATAATAAACCTACTGTTGTATTGTATTGTACTATTGTATGTATGTAATTAACATAACGGGCCAATAAAACTGTGATTTAATCTCCAGATGTAAATGTGCTGAGCGGTGATGTAATGAACTGCTTTCGTCTGCAGCTTCGTTCCATTCATCAGCTGATTGCTGAAATGAAATGAACATCAGATTGTGCAGCGCCTCATTGTCTCTGATTCTAAGGAGTCGTGAGAATCTGTGCTAACACTTGTTTCTGAAGTGTTCGGGTGTAAGACTGCGCTGTGCCACTTCAGTACATTTTTTTGATCCATTGTTTATGGAACAAAACCATATTAGGCAGCGTCTGAATGTTACCGACTGCAGACTCGGAGAAGAGAACTTCAAATCGCTTCAAATCAAGAAAGACGAAAACATAAACTGTGGATGTGATTAGAGAGAGAGGAAACAAACACGTCAGGATCTACTGGTGCTGACTGGTAACTCGTTATCATGTTATTGGAATGAACACAAAGTACAAAATGAACACAACAAGGTGGGCCAAAAAAAAAAACTGGTAGATCGTGATTTACAGGTATATTGTAATCTTCCAGGAAATCGTGATCTAGAGGTAGATTGTAATTTTCCAGCAGATCGTAATCTGCAAGGAGATCGTAACTGTCCAGTAGATCGTAATCTTCCAGTACATCGTAATCTACAAGGAGATCGTAATCGTCCAGTAAATTGTGATTTACAGGTAGATCGTAATCTTCCAGTAGATCGTAATTGTCCAGTAGACTGCAATCTACAAGGAGATCGTAATCGTCCAGTACATCGTAATCTACAGGTAGATTGTCATCTACCAGTTGATCGTACAGAGAGAACTGAAAAAACACAACAAACAAACAAAAACAAAACAACTTTCTCTAACATTTTTCTATTTTTACCAACAGTTCTTAACACATCAGAGATTATACCAGACCTTTAAAGTGCACAGAACTAATAAAACTCAGGTCATGGGTTTGCTTCCCGACTGAACTCCAGAGGCTTCGGTGGAAACAGTGACTCCATGAATTTTTCATGGTGACCAAGAATGGACCAATTACACTCTCTCTTAAATATAACAAAGCCGTTTCAGTTTTTAACATTTTAGTCCACGGTCAGAACTGAAGCTGGGGAATAAATCATTTATACCACGGGAGTTCCCAGACCAGAGAAATCATCAAGTTTGTTTTCCATGTGACGACGTGTTGACACCATGACCCGCGCTTGAACTGTAAACCCTGTGGCATTTAAGGTGGCAGTCTGTGAAGGTGGCTGCTGTCAGGAGTCACGGTGTGACACTGGTGTCTGGTATCACCAAAAATGTAATCTGACCTTGACATTCAAGATCATTTGATTATCATCAAAAAAAAACAAAAAACCCTCAAACCTCCCAAACGTCACAGCTTAATTTAATCATCTATTTTCTAGCGCTTAATACTTTTCAAGGGAAGCTGTAGCCAATCCCAGCAGTCGTCTGGTGAAGGTACACATGGTACACCATGTGTACTAGATACACAATACTAATACTATCAACTAACCTACCTGTAGAGGACGCCATGGTTCAAACACTTCAGTCGGACTTTTCTTTTCGTCTTTAACGCAAATTTGTCAAGAAAAAGTTAGTGGTAGTTTTCCATAAGGAGGTCTATTTTACTGACTTATCTACAGTTACCGCGGCAACGTCCAAATATTGATCTGATTTACTGTAAACTGTGTTGTTCATTTCTACATCTGCAGCTGACAGATTCAGGAAAAGTCGGAACATTTTCAGCCTTGGTTTAAATCCCCCAAAACAACGACAGTCGCCTCTAGGCTGCGAATCGGTAACAGAATGGTTCCGGAACTGAAGTCAATATGTTACATTTGAATATCAGCCAAAAAGCCTCATTCACTTAATGCTAGCAAAATGCTAGCACGAGTCAGTGACAAGGGTTTAGTCAGAGTGCAGTTACTATGGTGATTTTCAAGTTCCTGAGTTGAAATAAACCTTGAATTATATTCAACGTGGTTGAGGGTCTCATGGGTTCTTAAAACACACCGTTCTATTCGCGGTTCTCATTGGTCTAATGTTACACAACCCCAGGTAGAAGTAGGAGAAAGGGAAACGATCAGCTTCTATGTAACGTGGAGGAGGTTGTGATGTAATAACTGCTTCACCTCCCTGCTGTAACAGAGGGTTTTGATCCCGTGGCACCCTGGGATTCTTCGCTCGTCTGATCCAACTTTAATTCTTCTTCTTCTAGTTGTGCTCTCGTCACGACTCCCCTGGTATTTACCAGTGCATCTATAATCCCCGTTTAAACCATTCTACATTTATACATTTAGCAGACGCTTGGATTCAAAGCGACTAACTTTTGTATCAAAATGTATTTTCTGACTTCAGTCGTCTGGTTTCCTCAGTCCAGTTGACAAAAACTAAATGTAGTACTGCGGACGCTGAAAAAGTGTATTTGAAGTCACTAGTATGTGTTAAATACTGCAACATTTGTACTGTTTTAATATCAAGTAAATACTGGACCAGTATCACCAATACTGATACAGATAACGGTAATTTTTGATGGATTAGATTCACCGATAAAGTACAGATGTCCCATATAAAATGTTGCCGATATTGTCCAAACGTTTAATTTCCGATTGCGATATCAACCGATACCAATATATGCAGCTGTTTGGGTTAAAGACACATATCATGGTGTGCAGTGATGTCACAACGACAATAATTCACTTTCGCTTTCACTTCAAAGCTATCTTAGGTCAGATCTTCTGGACGAAACCCCGGCATCATTATCGGAGGAAAAAATCGATAACGATTCTTACAAAATTATGCTAATACCAGCCAATAATATTGGTTGGTGAATTTTCATTCCATTTATAAATAAGTAAATAATTAGGTAGATATCGTCAACATCTATACCAATACTGGTATGAGTACTATCAATACTACTAGTAACTTGGATTGATCTGCCCACCCCTAGTATCGGCCTCAGTATCTGTGTGTCAACACATTTAGCATTCGTTAGCAGCCAACAAAGATCGAACACACAACACAGTGATGGATGCGAAGTTAGCGTGTGACTCAGTCGAGACCAAACGTAAACACATTCTGCTTCACTGATTGGCTGCTCACCAGGTTTTGTTGACACAGCCAGTAGAACTGCTGGAATTTCTGAGACATGAGCAGCTGAGCGCTTCCTACTGCACTCCGGATCTTTCCCAGGACTGGAAAAGAAAAAAAAAGGTTTTTAATGATATTGTAGTGTTTGATTGGACATATTTTTATCCAATCACATCCAAGTTACATTTTCACTGCAGAAAGAAGCACTTGGTACCAGAGGCAGTACTAGGATCTGTATCCTGGTACTGTCTGTGTCTGCCATAATGATCAGGAACTCAAAGTAAATAGTCTGGACTTCTGTGCTCGCATCCCAGTGTTCCAGGTGGTACTGTTTTCTTACGGAGTAGAGCAGTGGTGTGAAAAGTACACACTAGTACTGCTAAAGTAAGAAAAAAGATTTTGTGTGAAAATATTGACTTTAGTGTTTATCATTATTTATAAACTCTTCTGTAAAACTGAGAGAATGAACTCCTGGAAAAAAATAATTTTTAAAACTTTTTTTTTTTTTGGAAATCAATGTGTTCAGTTGTTCCTCGTTTCTGTCCTTTCTGTGACGACCATAATCGGTACAAAGAAGAGACGTTGACCTCGAAGGTCGATGAATGAGGTCAGCACCCAAGATTAAAAAAAAATGAAAGTTCCAGTGCTGTTGAAAGTCTTCAGAATCGAATGTTTTTACACTGTGGAAATCTGGTGAAAACTTGTTTTGATTGGTTTTACTGGAGTAGGAACAGTGGCTGGTACTGTTTTTTTTTTACATTTAAACAGAGGTAGGAAGTAATAAATTCCATTGACTGAAGGTACTGTAACTGAGTAGTGCTGGCGAGTAATTTGTAATTTTTTACGTATGTTGGGAATAGGTAATTTTACTTTTACTTAAGCACATTTTGACTACTAAAGTATTTTACTTCGCCACATTGAAAAAGAACCATTTATTAAGTAAAAAATAAAATGTGGGAAAAAAAAATCTAAGTTAACTAAAAGAAAATTGCGTGGGCGTGTGAGTGACTAAGAGACAGACCTGTTCGTTATTTTCACACTGACAGCCGCTAGAGGGCACTCTAGGCTTGTGTACCAGTATCTGCTACTCCTGTACCACTGGAAATTTACATGTTCGTTATTTTCACATTACAGCCACTAGAGGGCACTGGAGCAACTTATATATATTTTTCTTTTTCTGTATGCATTTTTTGGCTGGTGAAAAGTATACTCTGGAGCGACTTATAGTCCAGAAAATACAGCAGATCGATTTTTAACAATACTTGCTGGTACTCAAAGGTTATGGCACCCGAAGCGGACATGGATACACAGTACCAGAACACTCACTGTCCTCTGACAGGTCGTTTTCCTCGGCTTCTGCCTCCATCTCTTTACACCAGCCCTCCATCCTCTTGGTCTCCGTGTGGAGCAGCTGCATGAACCAGGTGCCGTCTCTACGCAGGGAGGGGGACGCCCTGCCGGAATCCACCGACAGGACCGTGCTCTCCCGTGGGGAGGGGGGCTCCAGCTGCCAGTTGGTGTCGCTGGTGGTCTCCCTCGGGCTGGCCGGTTCCGTGGGGGTCCGGTAATCCTCGCGGTAGCTGAACAGCCCCTGCGTGCGTACGGTTCGCACCGCACCGTACTGCGTGGGCGTGCTGGGCTCGGAGTGACGCTGGAAGCCCCCGCCGAACTGCAGGCCCTTGTCCTCCATGGTGGGGAAGCCCTCCAACTCCATGTCAGCCTGCACCGCTGCAGTCACACTGTTGGAGCGTTTGAACCTGCCCTGTCTGCATACAGAGGGGGGGAGGGCGGGGTCATGGGGGGAGAGGGGGGTGCCAACAACAAAATGAGAGTCAATTTATAAAATCAGATT